GTGGAAAATGAGATGGTGTTTAGAAATCTTATGGAGAAGTATAGAAACGAATTACAACAATGATGAAATTATTCCAAGTACATACGTTTGACGAGAATTCGTAAGAATACGGTTCAAGAAGTGTGCCCAAACACAAGATTGTCCGAGATATCTCAAACAGGTCCGTGTTTCTGGGACACTGTCCAGGACTCCAGACTTCTGTGTCACAGGAGCCACAACAGATAATTTCTCGGGTTAGTTAAAAGTCACTTCAGATCCTTCGCTGTCCAGGACAGCCCCTAAGCCTGGGAAACATCGACGTTCATTGCCCTGCCTCTTTCTCGTTTCCCAGTCGAAAATCTTTCACGAAATTAAAGGGCGCAATGCGAGCGAAACACTAACTGATACTGCCTCGAATCGTTGCTATCGTTTTCACTGAGAAACTGTCGAGATTTTTGTAATTAAAAAGATATTAATGTTGAATGGATCTTTGTAAAATGATATTTGAAAAATCGAGAAAAATGTATTTTGTCATTGATGAATGCTGCCATTTGTTTACTTTTAGCAGAGTTTGAATATTAGAGGCAAGAGAATGTTGATCTTTGATAATTGTGTTTAAACTACGGATAGACGTATACTTGGAATTTTATACATGTTATATTATGCGGAATATTATAATATATACGTTGGAATATAACGTTGAATGTATTTTTGCATTCCATCATGCTATAACAATTTTACAATATTTTTGCATAATATATAACATAGAAAACTATTCTGTTTCTAAATATCCTCGTATACTTATTCATTATTGGATGCGAATAAATATAATAAATTTCCTCTAATTCCCACAATTATAAAAAAAGAATATAAAATACCCTATTTAATTAATTGATTTACTTAATATCAATATTACGTACATTATATAACAATTAATTAAACTTTATTAATAATTGGAATTAGAAAATCCCATTGATATAACACTAACCTACTAAAAACACGATTTTTTTCAACTTGAAAGGAAAAAAAAGAAGAATACGAAGTAATCAAAAAAGCATTGTAAGCGTTAAATAATAATCAAGCATCCTCCTGAATTCTAATAATAATATCAGTCGATCAAAATTTCATCGTACACCTTCCTCCACCATTTCGATTATCAATTCACCGTTAAAATACAGAACGCCTCGCTCCATCCCTCTCCATCCTCGACACCGCCGACTCGCCCCGTCCTTCTCTAGACTGTCTTTCCGCCGCAGGATCTCGATCCTCGGACGAATAATCCCGTCGAAAGATCCGCGTCGCGGATATCGATCCCACCGCGGATGAAGGGTTTAGTCACGGAATAATTAATGTGAGAGAGCAGGTACCTCCTTGCGTACACTCGTCTACTCCACTTTCTCTGCGACTCGACGCGTGCATACGTGTTTACGGCAAGTTCGAAGGGGACCGGCCGTGCATCGGTAATCGCGGCCAGGATCCGCGAACGACCGATGGATACGAGCTGATCGTCATTGTTTCCCGCGTGAAACGATGATCCTTAGAACGACGTTGCATTACGTGGTGGTGTTACTCCCGTCATTTTTTCATAGAGGTTTATGAAACAGTTTAGGTTTATGAAATTTGAATCTGGGAGTTTCTTCTTTCCCAAGTTATTAATTAATTATAATGATGCTTCTTTTTTTTTTTTTTTGGCTTGTATAAAATTAAATATTTTATGTTTTATGTTTTAAGTGAGTCGTAGTAATTGATTGATTGGGATAGTATATTAGTGATAGTGAATTGTTCGATATTCAAATTTTTCGAATACTATTGATTCAGAATAATTGTTCTGAAAAATCCATTCAAAATACAAGACTATCGAAGAATACTTGATATTCCAAAGTGGAAGACGTATTAGAACATCGATATGCTTTTTTTCTAATCAATCCAACGAAGATGTTCCATCATCGAGTATCAAAATCACTATGTGATATATATTTAATTCAAAGTTAGAAACAAATCTACCAAACCCTCCACGTTTCGAAACTTTTCAAACCCGTTTCTATAATGCAACGGTGAAAATCAGTTTGTTGTACTCCATATCGAACTCCAACTGTTGCACAAAAGCGCGAACAGTTTGACGGGGCCGAAAACACGAAGAGAAGGAAAGGAGCGGAGCGAATAAAATGAGAAATTCGATTAAAAGGAGATATATGCGATGACCGTCAGAAGAGGGATACTCGAAATCTTGGCGTGGAAATTTAGCACGAGGTACGAGTAACGCGAGTATAACAAATGTGACACCGATCGTCAACAAAAGGCTGGCGCCGCTCCAACTCGGCATTAACACGCGTGGAAATTACTCTGGTAATTTAAACGCTTGGCCAGTGTTAATCGCATCGTTTCCTCGGCGACTAACGGCCAGCCAAGAAATTTCCGAAACCATCTTCGCCGGCTCTATCCAATTTACCCGAGCCATCGACCAACAAGAGTCTTCAAAACAAACCTACGCCGAGAACGGACGAAGAAGGCGTAGAACAAAAAGAGCAGATGAGAAATAATGGAGGAAAACCCGAAGAGTAAATTGTTAATTCGCGTTTTTAGAACTTTCTCATCGATGTGATTCCATGCAATTTCGAAAATATTAATTTCAAATCCAAGATATATCGAATATTCGATGAAAATTCATTTGCAGATGACTCAAAGTTTCCATTTAATTATTGATGCAGAAAAAGTCATTTTTTTTTTTAACAGAATAACTTTTAGTAGAATCTTTATTATAAATGCATTTTCGAATTATGAATTTTCAGTTTGATACTCTGAAATTAACAATTAATTATTCTATTCCTTTCATCGTCAAGTGATAGTAATTATTAGTGATTATTTTATTTAACGATGTGTACAATTTTAAATTTACTGTATCGTATTGCTTACGTGTGATTAAGCAAATAATACTTTCGAGTGATGGCACTCACATAAATGTACATATCAATGTTTGTTTTCTATATATATATATATATAAGAATATTATTTAACAGATTGTACAGATAAAAATAAAACTGAAAATTCATTTTCAAATTTCAGAAGAATCGCCTTCCTTTATATACCTGTATCTTATATATCTTTATATATCATCTGGTATCGATATATTATCGAATTTATCTCGTTAAATTTAATCCTATATCTACATCTCTAATTTCACAGAAAGAAATCGAAAACGAACTTCATAATACAATCTCAACCGCTTCTAACAAACCAGTATATAAATACAACGATACACCTTACACGTGCGTATCAACAGATGAATATTACTTTGTCCCATTTTACCCCCGTATTGTAACCGATTAAAAAAAATATACACACATATATATATATATATATCTATACATTACTTCTCGATAATAATAATCCTCAAATCCTATCAATCGAAACGTGTCCGAAACGAACGTTAACCCAATAATCTTTTCCCCCGACCCCCTTCCGAGTCGAATCTCTCTCGAAAAACGGAGAAATAAAAAGAACGGCAACCAAGGAAAAAAGAGGGAAAGGGAAGAAGAAGAAGAAGAAGAAGAAGAAAAAAAAAATACTCGTCATCCACCCTGAAACGGTGCGTAGCCGCGCGAGGATCCCGCGTACCGTCGCGAAACTGTCGGGTCCGTCCGCTCGAGAGACCTCGCGGCCCCCCTATCCAGACAGAGACGAACGATCTCTCGCGGCGGACACAGAGGGGAACGGGAACGCGCTCGAGAAGGAGCGGTCTCGTCGCGGTGGGACAGAGAGAAGACTCACGCGCACCAGTTATATACACACTAGTCTATCCCGCGCGCGTGTAACTGCACGCCTAGACAGGGACAGAACGAATGAGCGAGGAAGAGAGAGGAGGGAGGAGAAGGGAAAGAGAGAGAGAGAGAGAGAGAGAGAAAGAGAGAGAGAGAGAGAGAGAGAGAGAGAAAGAGAGAGAGTCGAGCGAACAGATGCCGACCAAGATCGGACGAAGAGAGAAAGAGAGAGAGAAAGAGAGAGAGGGAGATAGGGAGAAAGAGGGAGAGAGAGAGAGAGAGAGAGAGAGAGATAGGGAGAGAGAGAGAGAGGGAGAGGGAGAGAGTCGGCGCGCGAGGGAGAGGCAGCGTGCACGGCCAGTGAGGTAGGACAGAGAGAGGGGGATCGGCGTTACCCCCACCACAGGGGTGAAAACTACCCCGAGAGCGCGTGGGGTGTCCGGCCTCGGCGCCGAGGCGAACCGAGCGCGTCCGAAGTGAGCGCAGTGCCCGACACACCAGGTCCCGCACGGCACGACTAGGCGCACCGTCCGGCACAGTCCACTCAGAGATACGACCCATGCTGGACCATCGTCGCTCTGGTCCACGCCGGCATCAGGCATCCAGCATCCGCGCGTCAGGCCACCGCACGCTAACACACCCGAACGAGGACGTATCCGGGCAGGACACGCGCCATCCCGGGAGGTGCGGCACGTTGTCGCTCGTCGTCTCGTGCAACACCGGAAGGACGAGGGACCAACTTTGTCATCCTGTTCCGTACGAAGATCGGTACACGTCCGGGATGGTACTGAATGCTCGGGTAAAGAAGACTTGTTGTCGTGAAGGGAGACGATAGAAGTTTCGTTGGTTCGCGTGTGACGTCTCGCGCGCGCCCTTTTTTTTTTTTTTGTTTTCCTCTTTTTGGTTGGTTAACTCGAGGAGAGGAGAGGAAGGAAAAGGAGAAAAGAAAAGGAAAAGAGAGAAAAATAAAAAGGAAAAGATAGAAAGAGGAACACGGTGTGTGTGTGTGTGTGTGTGCGTGTGTGTGTGCGCGCCACGGGAAGCGTGTTCCCCGCGAGCCCCGTCAGTCTGGTGGAGGACAGTTGCCGCGTCGAAGTTAGAGCGTAATTGTTTCTTTTTGTTTTACCTTTCCTTTTTTTTTTTTTTTTTTTTTTTTTTGTTTGTTTCTTTCTCGTTCCCGCCTCTCTTACAATATACACGCTTATTCCGGTGATGAGAACAGGTGATGAGAGGAGAGGTGATGATAAGAGTATGATCGCGAGTTCGTGTGACATTGTGTGACTGTCGCGAGCAACGCGCGACGGGTCACAGCTGGCCGCGACACTTTGTTGCGGCGACCCCGCTCGTCGCCGATACGACGCGTCAAACTCCTCCAAAGGTGAAACTTTAACGTGATCGAGAGAAAGGGGATCGTCTCGGTGGTTGTTTCGGTTGGGGAAGAATCGGTCGAGCAACGGGATCCGACGAGACACTCGTTCGGATCACCGGTGGTTCAGCGGCCGGCGAAACGATCGAGGCCCAGCACCTGTGCACGCGGACAATCCCCAACTACGTGTGTCTACGTTTTCCCTCTGTCCTCGAAGTGTCAACATATATACATACATACGTACACCTTTTGGCTCGACTCGATTCGCTCTGTGTGCCGTTTACACGTCGAGGTGTGCTCGCCTCGTATATGTGCCCGTTGACGTGTGTCGTCGTATCGTCTGGGACTCGCGAACGCGCGGTGCTGAACACCAGCAGAGGAACACGATGAGGACGAACATTAGTTGACGAAGAGGTGCGTCCCGGCCGACTGTCAGTTCCGTCGTCGTCGCGGCCAGGTGCACCAGACGATCGGACGGCAGGTAAACAGGAGGATCGTGATAAACCGGAATCCTGTCGAGATAAACGATCCGAATTAGATAGAAGGGGGGGAAAAAAAAAAAAATAAGTGCATCGAGGGGGGTTCGCAGGCGAGGGTCGATCGACCTCGAGATTTGAGAAAAGGAAAGAAAGAAAGAAGGAAAGAAGGGAAGAAAGAAAGAAAGAAGAAAGAAAACTCGAGAAAAATCGGAAGTAAGTGGAAAAGTTGTTCGAGGTGAAACGAAACAGGTGAAACGTCGGATGGACTCGTTTAAACGAACCGACACCGCGGGGCGGAGGTGAGGGGGAGGAGGACAGAAGGCGTTGACGATCGTCGAATTAACCGTGCTCGAAGGAGGAAATTCCTTCAAGCGTGGTCCTCGCCTCCCCCTTTTCGACCACCCCCCTTGGAAAACGTGCCAAAAACGTTCGAAGGAATATACGCGAGAGAGGAGGATTCGTCGTGACGAATACAAATACAGGGCATTTCGACCACGGAACGAAACCTTCCGTCCTGGACGTTCGAAGAAGGGAATACGTTGATCGGAGGCGAGGATAAATCGTGCGACCCGCCACGAAGAAGATCGACGAACGTCACCATGAGGATCAAAATGCCCGCGGTCAGGATCGCGCAAGGTGAGTGGACACGAAACAAGAGAAAATAATACGGAACGTTCCTCGACGGCCGTCGCTTCATCTTTCCGTGAGATTATTTTTGGATTTTGCATGGCTAGGAAATGCGATCGAATCTAAAAATCTCCGAGCGAACATCTCTCTCGTGATTGGAAAATTTTTCTCTTCTACTCTTCGTTTTCTCTAGAAATTTATTCTTGGAACATTCGCGAGAGTCGATTTCCCTTTTCTCGAAATAGAAATCTTCTCTGCTTTGTTTTTATTTTATAGATTCATTTTTGAAAGAATCACTTTGAAGAAGATTAAGATTCGGTTTTCCTTGGGACTAAAAATCTTCTCTTTTCGTTTTTTTTTCAATTTCGTTCTTCAAAAGGATCGGTTTCGCGTGTTAATTTTGTTTTAATTTTTGGAAACACTCGATTTTTCGAATATTTCCGATTCGAAAGCGGAGATGTTCTATTTTTCCTTCGTTTACCGTTAGACACTTTGTCCATTTTAAGGTCAAAGATGTAACGTTTCTCTGAGTGAACTCTGAAACGAAGATTCTTATTAATCAGTGAACAAATAAAATTTTCAATCATACTTTTGCCATAGAAAAATTCAATTTCTCGCATAATTTTACAAAGTAACGGCGTTTAACTTTCCTTCTTCATCTTCGAAATTACGCTCCAAGCGTAATAATCTCTTTCTAAGCTATACGATAACTGTCTTAGAATTCCCATTAAAGTAAAGGTTCACGGAAACTCTCGAGGAATCGATCAACAAATCTCAGCTGTTCGAGCCGATTGCAAACGGGAAGAAGGAAATTTAAACGTTACAATTCTCACCCTTCTCACCCATCTCGAACCTAAAATCTAAAACTCGAAACTCCATCCTCGCGCGTCTCATGATTCTCGATTCTTGAAAAACCTTCTTGAAAATTAATTTCCAATCTCTAATTTTTAATTCACTCGTCTCACCGGTCGAAGCGCGACCTGTCGCCTTCGGTGGCAAGGGCAAACTAAAAGCAGCTGCGAAAAGAAGGAAAGAAAGAAAGAAAGGAAAAAAAAAAAGTCTAGCCGGGGGGTGAAAAAGGAAGAAAGAAATGGGTGGCGGTCGCGTGGCCACGGCTAAGAAAAATAAAAGACGCGCGTCGTGGACGTCTGGAGGGACTCGAGAGGGGGAAAGGGGGGACGCGCGATGGGCGAGTAGGAGAAAGAGACGTGGAACGAAGAACGTGGTGAAAGAAAGAGAAAGGGAAGGGAAGGAATGAATGAACGGAGCGGGCGGGGGTGGTGGCGGGAAATGCGGGGTAGCAGGCCAACGTCTTCCGAGAACTCGTCGCCGGCTGAATTTTTAATTAGTCCCCGTCACCCCCACCTACGTGAGCTGCAAGCCGCGGCTCGGGGTGGAAAAAGAAAGGTGCGGAGAGAAGAAAGAGAGGAGAAAGGAGTCGTGTTGGCCAAGGCGGAGGTGGAGAAAGAACAGGCCAAGGGAGGGTGGGGTGGACAAGGAGGGGCGGCATTGTCATGCGCGCGTTTTTCACAGACTTTTCCACCCCCGTTCCACCTCTCTCTCTCTCTCTCTTTCTCTCTCTTTCTCTCTTTCTCTCTCCTTCCAGACACCCCCTCGGTCGGTACACACCCTGCCCCGCGTCGCCACGAGCCGGCTGCACCCCCTCGCCCCCACGGAGAGAGAGAACGGGAGCGGCGGTGGCGGTGGCGGCGGCGGCGACGGCGGCGGCTCCGTTTTCTTAATTACAACTGCGATATTCTTTAGTTCGCGCGATGACGCCGCCGCGAAAAGATACCGGAATATTTCTCCACCGATTAACCCCGTGGTTACCTCTTCCGGAATCCTTGCTCTCCATCCTTACCGAGTATCGATCGTTGGAATGTGGGATTCGATCGGGCGGACGCGATCGCGACCACGCGAGGGGCGAGGGTTGGGTGGACAGGTGTCATCGCGCGTTTCATTTCGTTATCTATATGCTACGAAATCGCGCCACTTTGGCCTCGAGGACGTTAAGAGTCTCGAGGTTTTTCGGGGAGGGTGGGCGATGTCGGTGTTCCTCGTCTGGTGACCTGGGCCGAGTGTCGAAAAGTGGCCACCGCGTATATACGTATATATACGCGCATAAGAAGAGGTGGAGCGAGGAAGGCTACGTACGCATGTCTGGTATGGGATTGTGAAATCGTTGGATGGGCGACGACACGCTACTGTTCGCTGTTTCAGCGTGTGCGACTCGAGCTACGATTGGTTTCCAGAGAGAGAGAGATACTCGTGCTCGAAGGTGGCAATGTATCGTGTGATCGATCATCATCGGACATGCACGAGTTTTAATTCGATTCGTTTTAACACGTACGAGACGAGATTTCGTACATTTGCGAGGTGATACGATGTAACATGTGGTTGATTCAGGAACATGCACGAGTCGCGTGACGACACATCTCGTCCAAGGAAATTCGAGAATCGACCGTTGCGATTTTAGACATCGCGTGCATTCCGAGAGGTGAGTTCCGATCGATTAAATCTGGAAATGGTTTGCCGTGTCGTGACAGGTTACCTTGTCCAAATGTCAAAGGCTGTTATCAATCGTGATAATTCACTTTGTTTATCATCGTTTCGATGTTCCCCCCCTGGCTCGACTCTTTTTTTTTTTTTAAATTTTATCATCTCTTGGCCTTGAGCCTCGATCTAACGGACGATTCGATCACAGGACTTTGGTCGAGGATCGCGAGCAGACCTTTGAATTTCTGTTTGCAAATGCGGATTATCCTACCGCCGCTTCGAAGTACGACTCCTGTTTACATCGCGATTATCCGCCTTCCAGCCTGTCCTACATATGTGTAATCAAGTAAATAGATCACGCGTTAGCCTGGCCGTCGATAGGTAAATAGGTTGTATGTACAATTACTTCTCGATTCGACACCACGATTCCTGCGATAATCTCTCTTCGAGATTTTCTATCGATCGATCTTCGAAATAATTTCGTTTTGAAATAAAATTTTTACACGATGATGTGTAAAATATTTTCAAATCGATACTTAAAATTGTTGAATCACGAATGAAATTATTCAATTATTATGGATCTTTGAAAATTTACTCGAGAATATATTATATTAAAGAACGTTTATTTTGATTCTCGACGATGATGCCTAAAATAACTTTGAAAATTAAATAATTTGATTGAGATTTATAAGCATAGAATCGTCGTTGCAAATGAAATTGTTGAATTATTTATCTCTAATTTAAATTTTGAAAATTTTATTCCATAATGAAATATTCTTTTTTCATTCGAAAATTAGATATTACAAATAATTTTAACAACGACGTTGAACGATAATTCGATTTGAATATATATTTCATCTTCTTATCACAAAAGAATTAATAAAACACTTGCTCATCAAATTAACCGATATATTCTAGATAATTGCATATATTTGTAAAAATTCAGTTTTCCATATTAATTCTCTAAAACAAGAATTTTCGTTTAAATAAGCCATCTTTCTCGAATTTCCACTTTTGTGATACAGTAAATCTCTGACTTATAATTTCAAGTGTTGTTTCGTTAAACTTATTATTCGCAACTAACTTTATCAATAAAAATTACGAGCTATTTATTATTTACATAGAATTAATTTCTTTTCTTTACTTCTTTACTTCTCTCTCATCCCTTTTCGTATCCTTTTATTCCTTTTCCATCTTTTTATCCAAGAGAAACTTTAAATTCGATTTTTCCGAGTTCCACTATAAAATTAATTACCTCACGAAGTATAATTCGTTAAAAAGTTTCTTTTCCAAACTTCTCCATAATGATTTATATTTCAAACGAATAATCGGTCGATCATCAAGATCAACAAGTGGAAATGTTCGATGTTGGATCAAAAAAAAAAAAAAAAAAAAAAAAAAAAAAAAAAAAAAACAATTTATCAGCAAATCGATTTCGGGAACACCGTTTCATTTTCGAAGTCACATTGTTTGTACGTAGCCATTTCTTTTCCTCTCTCCTCGAGCAAATTTCTTGACACGTTGGCGATCGACGATTAAAGCGTGAATGTTGCGCGCGACCCGTTATCGGAATAAGCAAATTCCCAATTAAGATACGAATCGTATATCGAGCGTTGTACGGGTGCTGTGACGCTTGTGTTCCGAGGAGCAGAGGCAGCTGTTGTTCGAATACACGAGACACAGTAAGATCGAGACGAAATATCAGCGACAACCAAAGGAAAATTCGCTCAACCAACGAATCGCCAGCATTGCTAATAAATTATCACTTCCCTGTGGACTCGTATCGTTTATGCGTGCAGGTAGAGACGATAAAAAAGAAATGAAAGAGAAATGTTGAAAATATTGCTCGTTTCGTTATGTGTGTATATAAAATTAATTTCTCACTCTCTCGAGGATTATGGTTCGTGAAAATATACTTTGCAAGGACACGAATTCTTTTTATTTTATTCGATCGAAGAAAATGGAATTACGCTGCAATAGGAATCGTTTATTTTTGGAGCAGAATTTCATTTTGTGAAATGAAAATCCCTTCGAAAGAATTTTTATTTTTATCGATAAAGTTTTCAAATATTTCGATTGGACATACGATTTTATAAATCGAAGTAAAAGTTTCTAATGTAATAAATATCTCGGAATATTTTTTCAGAAGAACAGTAAAAAAAAAAAAAAAAAAAAATCATGGATATAAAGTTGATCCAAGTTAGTGCGAAAAATATGTTTATAACAATTTGAAATTTAGAGCCAATATCAATACTCAAATCAGAGAATATAAAAGAAAGCTGTTCCTCGTATCATCAGCCTTCGATAATGAATACCTCAAAATGTTGTGTGTGTAATTTACACCATTATGATTCTTAACAAGCCAATATCATCTTAAGATATCCACGTATTGATATACATAAGACAATATTCCAAATATTCAAAAAAGTATTGACAATAAATTGATTTTTACTTTAAATAAATATTGCGTTTTATTGGATGGATAAACCTACTTTTTTAAATTACTTTTGCAT